TGACCTATGCTTTTACCAGATGCATTTAAAAAGCGCCAAATGATCGTATGAAATGGCACTGAGACTCCCTTTGTGGGTGCTGTCTATAAGGGTCACTGAACAGCGCAGAGGGGAACCTATATTTTTGGGAAGAAAAGAAACAGTTTGGGTAACCACGTAAAATATTCTCCCGAGAATCATGAGCGCTTTTCCATCTGATTCCAGCTCCTCCAAGGAAATCACCCCGAGGTGAATGTTTGGGTCAAAGTTAAATACAGCTGCTTGGGGAGTTTGTGAGTATGAAAACAGACTAATTTGGGGCATATGTCATTTTTATGGCCCTAATTTCCTGTATTACATGCAGAAATGGTCCATAAATGGCACAGAAGAATTTAGTAAGCTGAATCCTAAAAAACCTTTTTTTTTTTTTAATTTGCAAAACTGGGTCTTTCTTTATGAAAGTATCACAAAGAAAGTCTTGACACCTCCATTTTTTGCAAGAACCTTTCCCTTCGAGTTCTTTGTGTTGCAAATCCCTATCCTAAGCATTCTTAGGTCTTCTATTGTTAAGATCAGGGGTTTTTTATCCACTGCTTTCTAAGAAGCTGTCAGTCTTCTACTATTAATGTTTGGCACCTTTATTTATTCTTATGCTTCTAACATACGAAAATGCAAAGGTTGTTTATTATCACCCTGCTGAAATATTTCCCTAAACTAACCCTGTTTTATTTCTTTCTAAGGTTTTTTTCCCCCAGGCCCAAAGGAGAGTTACAATCATGAAAAATACAGCTATAAAAGCAGATGAAATCATTACAATGATAAGATGTGTCCAACTCTTCCAAATGAACACAAAAGAGGTGGGTCCCACAAAACAAACTTGTAAGAGGCTGAGGTAAAGAGGTGCGTCTTCAGCTTATGGCAAAATACAACAAAGATAACTGGACACACCTCAGTGGGGAGGGAATTTAGGGACTGCCACAGCCCACCCTCTCTTAGGCCTCTGTCTCCCAAGAGAGTCTCCTGTGCAGATCTTTAACAACCAGGTGTTAGCAGTCAGTTAAGTAAGGAGTCCAGAGAGAAAAGTCTTGATAATGCAGAAAAGGAGAGGGTATGAGAAAATCCGGATTGTGGGAGGGGAAAGTGTGGGAAGGCAACGATGCAGAGGAGAAAGTCGTGATGGAGAACTAATGGAGGGGCAGGAAGCATTCTCTCCAAGGAACAGTGTGAATGAGCTGTGGGGTGCTAGCCCCTGGGGGACCCCCCTGGAGTGTGACATCTAGGCTCAGGCTCTGGTATCTCCTGCCTGGAGAGCCACTGTGTGTCAGAGTAGACAATACCAGGCTAGATGGACCAAAAGAAAATCTAGCTTGGTATGAAGCAGCTGTCGTTGGTTTCCTTTAACCCAAGTCTCCAGCTTTATCTGGGAGGTTTGAGCATCGTCCATATACCCTTAGGTGGATAAAAGCTTTATCATAGCCAGATGCCGTTCATGGCTTGAGGTCTGGATTTTATTCCATGAGAAATTATATCTCTTGCAACTGAAGTGCTGATGTAGGGCGGGTGGTCTCTGAGCCAGATGGTTTTGTCCCAAATGTTCCAGATTTATGAATTTCTCCTGGTGTCATGAAGGAAATGGCAAGTTGCAATGCTTGTGGAAGGGTTCTCCTTGAACAGGTATCTATGAAAATTATATATATATACATATATATATCCTAGACTGTATATATTATCAGTGTATGAACATTCTTGGAGATGAGAGAAACGTTCCAATTTCTATTGTTCCAAAGAAGTTTATATCGTTTTCTAGAATTACCCGGCATCCTGCCTCCTCCCTTTTGAGTTTAGTGCTCCCTTTTCTTTTTCCTGTTCTGATTTCATCTTTTAATAGGAATTTCGTTCATTCTGGCCAGGATCCATAGAGCAACTTTAGACACACTCAAAAGCTCCTGAATCTTCTAACAGAATGATTCAAACCAGTGGTTTCCAAACTTTTTGGGGCCACCACCCACTTGGTTCCATAACCTCATCCCCGGTGCCGCCTACCCTATAAAAAAACCAACATTCAGAACAATGGTTAGCACAACCCACTAAGGAAGGTAACAACACAATGCAATGCAATTCAAAACAGTAACAATGAATTGTGCATTTATTCAAAATTCAATTAAAACCAATGAGTTTAATTAATTCAGCAAAATGGATGAACTTGATCCAGTGATGCCAGTACCCCCTGCTTCCCCCTTGCCCCATAGCGCCACCCTGAGTAATTCTCCCAGCCCTGAAAGGGGGCAGCACCACCCACGTTGGGAACAACTGGTTTAAACTAACCTTGTGCCTGGCTATACCATAAACTGCTTTTGAAACCTTCCATTACAAAAGCACTTTGACAGTATGGTGTAGTGGTCAGGGTGTTGGGCTAAGTTACTGTGGTCCAAAGTAGGCATTGGGTGGAATTCAGTTCTTTAGTTCCCTGCATTTTTATTTTTTAAAAACCCTTTGTACAGTAGGTGAATGTCTACACATGTTCTCACACACCTGTCTTCAGTCCAGACAAGCAATAGACACTATCAGAGTTCAGAAACACAGCACAGCAAGGCAAAACTAGCTGGTGTGTGAAGCAGGGGTACTGAGGGGTATGCCCTGGGGGAGAGTATTTGGCTGTACAGTAGTATTTAATCCCTGGACCTGAGGTTCCTCACCACTTCCTTAGAGAAAGGATAGCATAGAAATGAAATAATTCAGCCTGGGGTTTGTAGTTGAGGGAGTCTGCTGTTTGAGGAACACAAGTCCAAAGCCCCTTTGGGAAATATGGAATTACTTGCTTTGTTCTTTGGATCCTGACCTTATCTTCTAACTAACTGGAGACTTTATTCTTGCAGAAATATTTATTTATGCCATTTTTAATCATACTCTGCAATAAGATGAGTTGCTTCATTTCCTCACCCCCTTCTCCATCTTTGAAAGAAAACTGGCAGGCAGTGATTCTTGTCTTCTTTGAAACCTTACCTGAACCCATGAGCTGACTCCAATGAAATGCATGAAGGTTGTGTGAAGTGGTGCAAATGTTATATCAGATTTGTTCGCTCTTTGGTGGCTCATTCAAACATGCTGCAGTTATCAAGGGAAAATGTGTGTGTGTGAACTGTCCCTCAGGCATTGGATTCTGAAGTTCATCTGAGTTCAGCTTGGGGATTCAGGATGGATGGATGGGTGGATTTTATTGCTACATCATCCAGCTCAAGCTGGTTCACATATGGCCTCCCATCCAGGCACTGGCTAGGTCCAGACCTGCTTAGCTTCAAGAAGCTTGCTGCTTTTTCTACCTTCTATCCTAAGATACAAAAGCTAATTGACTATGAAAGTTTCGCAGCTCGGTTTCTGAAAGTGTTCAGATTGTGCAACTCTGATTCAAATCAATGTAGAGTTTGGTTGAACAGCATCTCTGTCAATCGTTCAAAGAATTAGTTTAGGGGGGAAAGCCCCCAATAGGGGAGTTGCAGTAGCCCTTTGATCACTCTGGTTGTCCTTTCTGAACCTTTTCCAGCTCTGCAACATTCTGTTTGGGATGAGGAGATCAAAACTGTCCACAACTGGCTCCATTGAAAAAGCATTCGCCTGGATGCAAATAATGGCGAGTAGAGGAAAATCAGTCACTGATGCTGCTCTGCAAAGCCTCATTCAAGAGTCCATGCACTGCAGTAATAGGAAAGAGGATGATAATCGTTCTCATACTTCTCTTTTGGGTTTAGATTTGCTTTCCTTGGATAGCTCTCTAGGATAAGATGCAAAACAGTATTTCCATAAGATTTCAGATCTGTTCCACATGCCAAAACAGCCACACATTTGAATTCAACCCATTGAATTGGATCCCAACTAAGTGGAACTTAGGTCCCATTGAAATCAATGTGACAAATTAATCATGACTTAAGTTAAGGGGGAGGTACCATAACTCAGTGGCTTTACGTTCAAAAGGTCCCAGGCTCAACCACCAGCATCTCCAGGTAGGGCTGGGAACCCCGAAGAGTTACTGCCAGTCATCATTGACAATACACCAATGGTTTGACTTGGCAGAAGACAACTTCCAATGTTACTAAGTTCCATTGATTTCATAGAATCATGGAATCAAGAGTATTCTAGAGTTGGAAGGGATCCCAAGGGTCATCTAGTCCAACCCCCTGCAATGCAGGAATCTCAACTAAAGCATCCATGACAGCATAGGAACCAGATCAAGTTAACTTAGCCTGGGTCCAACCCATTGCATTGCAGATGACACATAGGGTAGTATAAAAGTTCTGTTGACGGTGATTAATCTGTGTTCGCTCCTTGGTGCATGATACAACTCATGAGTTATGAGTGTACATATAATTAACTAGCTCTACATGTGCTTTGGGACACTTTATCATCTCATCACTTGCTCTGTGATGGGGCCCTGACATTAATTAAAACGGGTTCCAGGGCTTAGCCCTGCCTCAAATTAAGCCCACTATGTTGAATGATAGTTTTGAAAAACCAAGGCCTGAGTGGCTTGCTAATTAACTCATTTCCCCTCCCAGCTTATGCAGTGAGTACAGTTGGTCAAGCCATCTGGACCTGCTGCTTTTCCTCTATTCATCTTCTTTCTAAAAGGCAATAGATTTCAAACGCACAGGTACGTCACATGCCATCTTTACAATGACTGCTTCCAATGCCCATTAAGACCACTGCTCGGAGCAGGAACGGACAGCACAATATTAGTATTGCAGTAATATCGTCATCCTATTACAGTTATAACTTCTAATGATGCATAGGGAAAAGATTCAAATGAAGCAAAGTTCAGCCATGTGAAATCACATCTGACCATGATGTCTGGGCCTCGGATTAATTATGGAGAAGTCAACACATCAAGTTAAAAAGGCTATAAGAAAGATACAACCTGATTCGAATAATAGAATCATAGAATTGTAGAGATGGAAGGGACCCAAAGAGTTATCTAGCTCAACTCCCTGCAATGTATGTTTAGGAGGAGAGAGAATGCTCCAGGGCAGGTCCACAGGTTAGTGGTAGAACGTCTGCTTTTCATGCATAAGGTTCCTGGTTCAACCACCGGTGTCTCCAGGTAGTGATGGGAAAGACTTCTGTCTGAAATACTGGAGAACAACTGCCAGTCAGTGTAGACAATACTGGGCTAGATTGAACAAAGATCTGACTCTGTATGCAGCAGCTTCTTTTGTTTTAGTTCCTGTGCTTACTTCTGAGTAGTGGCACCCTAGTGAAGAAATGCTGTCCCCAAAGAAGCTTGCCTGACACCTGCATTCAGCACCAGGTGAAGGCATTTTTATTCTCCCAGGCTTTTTAAAAATGATGGTTATTTTGGGTGGTGTCCAATGCTAAGCCTACTCAGAGCAGGTCCATTGAAGTTAATGGGCACAACTAACTTAAGGTCAGTTATTTCATCGGGTCTATTCCAAGTAGGACCTTGTAGTTGGCTGCAAGCCGTTTGTGCTAGTTTACACACACACACTGATGCCGACTTTCAGAGCTGCTTTTAATGTTCTTGATCTTACACTGCTTTCGCATGAATTACAGCGATGCAAGTTTCATTTATTGATCGTTTTTATTTTGACTGCATTTGTATTGCATTTATTTTTAAATCTGTGAAATACCCAGAGGCATGGTTCATTGGGCAGGATATAAATGCCAAGAACAAATGAACACTTGAAACAGGTTATAAGGGGTTCAAATAAGTTTGACTTTCCTTTCCTTCTGCATCGGTGTCATGTGTGGAGCTGCTATTAAGGGCTGGTTAGAGGTTTGCGGGGAGCCCTTGGACTCCCCTCCCTGTTTGCACCCATCTCCTCTTCCTCCTCCCTGTTGCATATTCCTAGAGTGGGGAACCTTAGGACCAAAGGCTGGTTGTGGCCCTCAGGAGGTATGGCGGGCCCATACCTCATTACATCTTCCTTGACTGCTTTTGCCTGGTTTGAATACGTCTTGAATTCTGCTGATGACTTTTGCTTGTCTGGATGGAAAGGTAAAGGGCTGTGTGAAAGGGTGCAGAAATGAGCCTACCTGCATCCTCCTCCCGCCATTCAATCATCCACCTGTAATAAATCAACACCTGCAATAAATCACCTGAACCGGGGCGGGGAGCAATAGAAATGTAGTCTCTTCTTCCGTCACTGATTCCTTCCACTTGTTGCCATGTAGAGTGTGTTTGTTCAGGCTTCCCTCCCTCCCTCCCTCCCTCCCTTCCTTCCTTCGTTCCTTCCTTCTTGTCCAGCTAGTCTTTCTCTTTATGCCTTGGTCTTGGAGCTTCCTCTTGTTAACCTCATGACTCCATGATAGCAACATGTAAGCTTGTGCTCAGAATGGCTTTGTCTCCCAGGAGGAATAAACCTTAAGTTTCCTTATTCCAACAACCAGCCATCTTACCAGACTATTTATTCCCGCACTCCATATATACACACACAAAACCTAATGCCTGCAAAGCTGTCTACCATTTTGGTCAATGCTAGGATGAGACGAGAGCTTCTGATTCCTTGTTGGGTAAGTAGGACCTTAGGAGACTTGCTGTCCTGGAACAATCGACCTCACCAGGACGTGGTGATCTGAGATCTGTTTCTATACCAATAATTAGACATCACAATATACCAGGCAGGAATCATGCCCAATCAACCCCCCCCTTCCCACCCTCATGGCATTCTAAAATTTGGATGGGATACAGACAGAATGCAAACTCAATTGTCTGTAGGACTTGCAAAAACAATCATGTGACCCTCTTTCCATCTGCATGTTAATGCCTGTGTTTTTTAGAGTCTCACTTAAGTTCTTGACGTACACTTCTATTCAGAGGCTCCTGCTGTACTCTGGGTTTAATATACTATTTGCTTAATGGCCCATTGACATAATCATTTGATATAGATCCTAGTCATACCACATTACCAGGTTGTGATATATTAATATAGCTACATATTAATGTTGGATGGGAAACCTATTACATCATTATCCATGAGCAATTAGTTGCTATCTGTCGCAGGTATACACATCTAGAGCTAAGTCATTAGGGGCCCTGCATTTTCAAAGTGCTGGACACTCACAGTTAAGATTGAAATCAACTGGAAATCTTGCCAGATCTATCACTGATGTGTGTGTGCGTGCACAAAAAGGGATTTGCTATAATTTCCTACAACTGAAGTCAAGAGGAGAGTGCAATTTCTCTAGAACAGTGAGAAAAAAGATGGGCTGTGTCCAATGTTAGTCCACTCAAAGTAGATCCATGGAAATTAATGCACACAACTAGCAGCTGAATACTTTTTTCGTTTTGTTCCAACAGGTTTTTCCAACTGGATAAATGGGTCTTTATCATGAGCGTCCTTTTGGTAGGCTTTTCATCTTGTTTTAAATGTATTTGTAGTTTTTGTGTTTTTAATTGTCTTATGTGTCAATCACCTTGGTAAAGTATTGTAAAATGTGATTAATATATTAATTATAGTAATGAAAACTTAGGTCCATTAATTCCAATAGATCTACTCTGGCTGGAGACAATCAACATAGCTTAAGGAACCATTTTGAGCTGCACTTCTTGCTGACCAAAATTGGTCTAGCTTGGCTGAAGATAAAGGTCTAATTTTGTGCATGTATTTTCATCAGAAGCTAGATAGGATTGGACAGAATAGGTTTACAAGGCTAACTGTGCAGGAAGGACAATGGATCACTCTGGATTTCTTTTAGAGTGTATAGCATACACCCAGTTTACAGTTCAATGCAACTATGATATTACTGAGTAGACGATGAGTCCTGGGTTCATTTGGGTTGAGCTGACCCAAGGGCGGGTTGGGCTCTGCAGGTGACCACTGATCACTTTGTATTGTTTCAACAGTGAGTCAAATGTAAAATATAGATCTACCAAAAAACAAACAAACAAAAACGGTTGGGTGGTATTTCATGGAAGCAGCAAAAACAGAATCCAACCACATGAAAAATATTAGCATTTGCTCATAAAACACCTTTAGAAGAAGAAAACAATTTGGAAAACTGCACGATTGCTTCCATGTGTGTGCATGCAAATATAGATGTACAGTTCATAAACCTACCAAAAAGAATGATCCAATTCTCAAGTTGCGCTAAAAAGAAATGCCAGTTATCGTATCTGAGCGACAGTGCTCATCAGCCAAAAATACTTACCCAGATTTTGGAAAGACCTTTCACTAAACATTGGATAGCTCCACATTGGCCAGATGTAGGCCATGTGCTAAATTACTCTTTATTACTGGAACGTATTTTGGGTTCAGGGCTACATAACTTTGGAAGCAACACGTTTGCCAAAGCTATGGGATTCACTATCACAGCTCAGCACGTTTCATTTCTAGCTTTTCATAGCTTTTAAACAACTGTTTTATATTTATTTGGACCTGATTTTATTGGGTTGTGGTAATTATTTTTGCTGTTTGGTAGTTTCTTAACTTTATTATGTCTATACTTGCTTAGATTTTAACTGACCAATTTTTTATGAATTGTTAGAAGCTCTGGAAACCCTTATGGGTTGAAGTATAGAATAAGAATGTACAAAAGATATAAAAATTAATAAACAGTTTTGCTAAAAAATGATATTGTTATGCATTCTCCTGTTTTATATGTGATGAGATTTCAGGGATCCCTCAGAAAAACAATTTTTGGGTAGTGCAACCAGTTTGGCTGCACTGGGCACCACAACAATGATTTAGAACGGAGTGTGAGGGGCAGGAGACGCACCAAATTTTTGTCCATAACTGCCTTCAGAGTTCTGAAGGAACCTCCTAGCTGTGACTTTTTATAAGACTCAGCTGCAACTCCCAGCTGTTTCCATTTCTGCAGACACTGACCACTTTCTTACATAATTGTAAGCTAAACTTGGCAGCTCATCATGATGTATCAGGAATGAGCTGTGTACTTGTGCACACTACAATATTACTCCCACTTAGTTCTTCCCCTGACCACAAGCTTATCATGGTTCATCCTCTGTAACAAGTCAACCACAAACCATGGCTACAAGTTGGTGAGCAATCATGATTTGTTAGGGAGCAACAAGCCACAACTCCTGGTTTGAAGGTAACACAATCACCAAGGCCGCCTGGTTTGTTTATCACATACATGTTAGGCAACAAGTGATACACGAGCAAACTGGTAGCTGATGTCAAACAGGACCATATTTGTGAGGAGACTGTGATTCCCGAGGAGTCTTCCCCTTATCCTGCGTTTTTGGGGGGCCGGGCTTTGCTGACTTTTCAACATTTCCCTGAATACATGGGAACCACTTGTCCTTGAGCAAACCCAAACACAAACCACAGGGCTGATCATGTGGGGTGTCTCCCAGAGGAATAGGCACCTGGGAAGCACACAAGAAATCAGCCCTACCCACGTGGATCACCCTCACCCCCAGATCTAGTTGGGTCCTATGCACCACTAACAGCTGGGCTCTTCCAGCTGTGGCATGATGCAACTTCAATGACTCAAGCATGTGGATGAAGCTGATTGCATGTGTTCACCAGGTCCCCATTCTATATGATCAGCCCTGACTAGGTGGCCTGCATCATTCAGATGCAGCCCCCTACCCCATCGTGCTGGCTCACAGACGAGTGCTTCCCATGTGGTCAGGACAATGTTCAAAGGTCACCAGAGCTGGGCCAAAAAAAGAGACAAGGGGAAAGGAAGAGCAATTTTTGTCGGCTCCAGACATAGATGAAAAACCTTTGTCTCTTCCTCTTGAACTTAAGACAACTGGCAGCCATATGTGTAAGCAAACAAAAGTTTTACTACTTTGCTCTTACAGAGATCACTCTCAGATCTTTATTTCTCTGCCAGTTGGCTATGGAATGAAGAAGAACAATAGATTCAAGATAAAGCTATTTGCATTTGTGATGAACGCAAGGACTATCTACCTTGCATTATCCTAAAAAAAAGAAAGAAAAGAAAAATTAAACCACATTTTTAATTAACTGATAAACTATTAATCAAATTTTTGCAATGTTAGGTGACACATTATTCATTTAGATAGAATGACTGTGAACTTAACTAATCAAATCTGATTTGCTCACATATGCTTGATTGAAATACATTTTAACTAGTATATACAAAGAGAAAATCTTGGATTTCTTACCTAATCTTCAGAGTATACTGCTGAGTTAATAAGGGCAGTATTTTTTTTTTTAGACGAGACCACCATTTCTTAATCTGCATATCAAAATCAAGAGCAACTTAATTGCAAAACACATATTCCTGAAATCTAATCATTATACTGCTTTAGGGTATTTTATTGAAGCATGTTAAATTATGGACAGAATATTAATGATGAAGCTAATCAAACCCAATTAGTCACTTCTAACAATAGTCACATAAATATACAAGTCAGGTACTGAAGTACCGTAGGTAAGGTTTTGATTTTTTTTCTATCAAATTCATGTGGTATTTATGAATTACATACTTGTTATTTTTAATCTAAAAATCTAGGACAGGTCATTTCAAAGAAAATGAACAGGGCTAAAAGGCGAATGAACCTCTTTCATAATATTTGTATTGGTGCTATTGGTTTTTCAATGTATATATACTATGTTTGCTGCAATGCTGCGCATATGGAGAAATTATGTGAGCGGAAATACTGGAATGAAAAATGCATGTAGGAATTGCATTAAGAATATATCTAAATGCAGATTCTGCAACAGAAGATCAGTGCAGTGCAGATATAGTCATGTGTTGGCCTCTGAACATACCTGTGTAAGAATTTTGGTTTTACTGCAGGATCAGACCAAAAGCCTATCTAGTCCAGCATGCTGTTCTGACAGTGGCCAGCTCAATGCCTATGAAGGACCCAAGTGCAACAGCACTCTCTGCGCTTACGATTCCGAGCAGCTGGAATTCAGAGCCATCATGGACTTGCAGCTATTGATCACTGTATTCTATAGTTGTCTACTCTGCTTTCAAAGGAACCAGAATGCAGTAAACCGCCTTCTGAACTTCATTAATTGTTTTGATTTTAATGTACTCTTTACCCCCCACAGATGCATTTCTGTATGCATTGCTTGGCTGCAAAATTTGGAGAAGAGTGAATTTTGAAGGGTGTGTGTGCTTCAGTTAATGCATTGGTTTGGAAAGTGCAAATTCAGTAGGGTGGCCATCAAGTGTGAACTGCATCTCTTCCCCAGCATCCCTACCTTTCAGCGGCTGATCACAAAGAAGCAGAAACAATCCTAAGACAATAGTTGAAAACAACAGAACGAAGATGGTGGTGTTTGGTGTGTATATAGCAGTGGAGTACAGAAATAAATAGTGAAGAAAGAACAGGTTGCCTTTTTGTCTACCTTCCCTCCAGTAGTTGAGGTAGCTTTTTGCAAGCACCGTCACTTTACTTCCAACAACAACAACAACAACAAAACCCCACAACAGATGCAGACTTCACAAGGAAGCAACCGGATACAAAGTAAGTTCACACATGGCTCAAACACCAGCTGAAACACGCAAGACAATAACCTTGCTTGGGTGTTATTCCTGAACAGGCTACCCCATAGGGCCATGAACACAAGCCCTGCTCCTAGCCTGACCCTTTCCACATTGAATAGGAATGTCATATATTCTCCTGAACATGGTTACAAGCCTCCCTGTGATCAGAAACCCCAATATTGCAGGATTCCTGCCTGCAAAAAGGTTCACAACATGCTAAGGATCCCCCTTAAGACCTTTCCGCTCACCATGGGTGAAGCAGCTACATGTGGGGATGTTGGGGAGGAAAGAGACATGTGTCTTCATTCCTGCACCATGAATTGAGATACTACATGTAGGAATAATGTCTTGCTGCTAGCTGCAAAGCAAGCCATTGTGAGGCCAGATGGCAGTCCATAATTTAGGGTATCCCGCAATTTGGGTGTCATGTACAGAAAGTCCCCAATATTCACCTATCCACGTGAGTGCATGGGCAGCACATGTCAGGCCCATCCCCTCTGCAGTTGAGGTTGGGGTGTGGTGAAAACTTAGCAACCTTAGGGGAAGGCTGGGGGACATGTGGCCCTCCAGACGTTATTGGACTCCCATCATCCCCAACAAGCATAACTAATGGTTAGGGATGATAGGAGTTGGGAGTCCAACAGCACCGGGAAGACCAAAAGTTCCCCAGCCCTGCCTTAGGGACAGGTGTACTAGTAGCACAGAGCAGCAAGTGCACCTAACTTCATCTGGAAGCTTTGGTTGGGACATCGCCTGACCTGCTCTGGCTTGTGTGCAAGAAGACTACATTGATTAGATTCTCCACAATTCTTTCTTCTGGACAGAGTAGGGAAGGCCAACATCCTTCAGATCCCAGGTCAATCTGATTTTGGAACATAGGAAACATAAGAAGCTATCTTATATTGAGTCAGACCACTGGTCCATCTAGCTCAGTACTGTCTGCACTGACTGGCAGCAGGCCTCCAGGATTTCAGGAAGTTCTCCCATCCCTACCTGAATATGAACCTGGGACCTTCTGTTTGAAAGGCAAATGCTCTACCACTGAGTTATGGCCCTTCCCCCATTTTGCAGTCTGGATGCACAAAGTCTACTAAATGTACATTCAAATGCGTAGTTACAGTATCATGAGAATGTAAGAAGAGCTTGCTGGAGCAGGCCAATGGCCATCAAGTCCATCATCCTGTTCTCAGAGTGCCACAGTGGCTATCCCCAATCAAAGTCCACTGAGCTGCCTTCAGAAAGGGGTTGTTTGGGTTTTCTTTTGCATGATTTTGCCATGTAAGCTAGTAATGTTGCAAAATCCTTTTTGTGATGTGTATGTACATGGTTCCCACTTTAGAATTTATAAAAGATTGAAAGGATTTGTGCTCTTAAACCATTTCTTAGGCAGTTTTTTAAAAATGTATATCTACCACCCACTGGATCTGCTTCAGTATTGGCATAAAGAATAAGAGTCTGTGGTTTCTCTCAATTTGTTTCACAGCCTCACTACAGTTCCTGTTTTTAATAAAGATTAATGCAATGCTCAGTAGCATTTGGAAGTTGACTGGGAAGAATTAAACAAAACTGGTGGGGAGTCAGTAAATAGGAGATGCCTTGGGCAGGAGAATACGGTTTGTTAGAACAGAACAGATGGTAAGGAACAATACAAAAGGTGAAGGAAATAAAAGGAGTAGTGGGCACTAAGGGAAATAGATTGAATTTTAGCTGTTAAAAGCACCGAGTTTGTTAATGAATATATTATATCAAAATGAATAGGGAAAATAAATACAAAGAGCTTGTGTCATTGTGAGGAGTGAAACAAAACGTGAAAATAAAAGGATAGGTAAGGACTTTAAAAATAAACAGGGTAACAACGAAACATTAGCAGTGAAGCTGCTTATTTTTCATGCTTGCCTGAAGGCAAGGAAATTGGTAATGTTCCATTGTTCCCTCTTGTGGGTGAGGTACTAGAGTGAAGTCACTTAAGTCCCAGGCAAACGGGTTGGTTTACCTTATTTATTGAGGACATCTTGTTCCAGCTTGCCTTTAAAGTGAAGTCACAACCATCTGAATTTGGAACCGAGTGTCCTGTTTTGCAAATAGATTGCAGCCAGATGCAGTTGATTAGATCACAAAATTCCTCCTTTTTGGAGCAGAGGAAGGGAAAGGAGGTGGCTTGTGGAGTGCAGCTGAAAATTTGGGCTATGAGGATGTACAAGAAATTTGTAAGTCTTGATCGCAAGCTTAGGAGTGATAGAACACTGGCTCAATCTAGCTCAACTGCAGGTGCTCAGAGAACATACAGATAATGGGAAGGCCCATTTTTTACATCTGCAGGCGTGGCAGTGGATGTGCTAGATTGATGTCTGGCCTCAGGGACTGTATAAGTGCCAATAAACTGAAGTTTAATCCTTGTAAGATTGAGGCGCTGTTCCCTAGACTAGTGGGATGTGGTATGGCCTGCTCTAGGTGAGGTTACACTCCTTCTGAAGGAGCAGGTACAAAGCTTGGGGTTGCTTCTGGATCCACTACTGTTGCTTACATAAGAACGTAAGAAGAGCCTACTAGATCAGACCAATAGCCCATCTAGTCCAGCATCCTGTTCTCATATGAACCAGCCCAGATCCTGTACTTGTCATCTGAACCCTTTTTCTGTGTGCTTCCTCTGAATAGCGTGGAGTGTGGTGACATAAGAGGAGGTGACATAAGAGAAGAGTGGTGGCTCCTTGTTTGTGAAATGCTCTCCCCACTCATGCCCACCACCAAACCTATTTGTTCTTAGGTACCTGGCAAAACATTTTTATTCAACTAAGTCCCAAAACAGCTGGAGGGCCAAGTTTGGCCATCACTACACTAAGGCCTTTGGACCTTAATTTTCTCCTTATCTTTTAGTGGGGTTCTGTTGGATCTGCTCTTTTATATATGTAATTGGTGAGCATTTAGGGGTTGTTTTTCCTCTTGTTTTTAAAAGTAAATTTGAATTCACCTTTCTGAAAAAAGCAACTAATAAATAGAACAAATAACTCTCTGAGCCTTATTTTTTATTTATTTTATTATAGATCATGGTTTTTATCCAGGGATCTTGAGACAGTATAAACTATATTGTCTAGCTGTTTCCTCACCTGGCAGTGATTACTAGACCAGATCTGCTTAGCTTCAGGAAGGTTGCTGCTTCATGTACTTTCATACTATGCTCTTAGAAGAATGAAACATTTCTTATCATCTCATCCAGTAACCAGGTGGACCTATTCTCTATAAATAGATCAGTACTTTGGAAAATTCCAGACTGGGAAGCAGTTTAGAAAGGAAGAATTTAGTTACAGCATGCAAGGGCCCTAAAGAACCCATTTACTTGTGAATAATTCCAGAGAACTTCACATAATCATGACTTTCTCAAAACTTCAACTGTTCCCCAAGGTCTCTTCTAACAGGAAATGTAAAGCGTGCAAGCCCCATTCTTTCCATTTCCCTTTGATCTGCTTTCCTCTGGTCTGAAGACAAAAGCAAGGCCCTAAGAAGTATTGTGTTTTGTCTCTGCTGCACCTGGTAAAAGTTCAAACTCTTGTCTTCTTGACCTAGGATATGCAACCACTTTCACAAAGTTCCTCTGAAAAAGAGCAAGTCCCCTCAAGCTGCTGTGCTGGTGCAGCTGCATGGTTCAGAGCTGACATCTCAGGCACAAATTTCATGGAGAGATGCAACATTGAAAGCTTATTACATTGATTAGACATTTGTATGGGAATAGTAAAGAGGCATTGTGTGTGCATGGGTGTGTGTATACTGGGCAAGCTGCTCAACTTTAAATCCATCCAGCTAACTTTGAGACAATGGAAGCCCAAAGCCTTGATTTATTGATGTAATCTGTGGCAAATACTTGCAGGCTGGAATATATAACTCTGATACTATGACATCTTACCTTTAAACGGTTATATGCAATGCTATCTCTACACAGAGGAGGCTTTATTTGGCTACAACAACTCAATGCTCCAAACTGACAAAGCACTGCAAAATACCGTGGATAAATACTCCTCACTTGAAGCACCTTTTGACCACAGAGTGCTGCAGCAGTCTGGCTTAAATAAAAAAATATGTTACCCCCAAGCATATTTAGTAATTAATAACTAGCAATATTATTGATTGATTCTGACAATTTATAAACCACTTATTTGAAAGTACCTCTAAGCAGTGTACAATAAACTTAAAAAAACACATCCAGATAAAGTTAATTAAAAAGTTTGTCACTTAAACTGCAGACTGAAATAAATAGGTCGTCATTAGGGGCCAGGTTTTCAACAGGGAATGGACTTTTCTGGTCTCAATGGAAAGGGAGTTCCACAAAGCTGGACCCTCAGTTCTGAATGCAGGATGGCTCCCGATGGATATGATCTGTGTACCCAAGCTACGGAGAAAATCGCTGACCTCAGTGATTGGGCAGGGATATAACTATATAGGCATCCTGGGCCCAAGTTAAGGTCCTTGTAAATTAATACAAGAACCTTGAACCTGGTCCTGTAACCAATGCAAGCTTTTGAGCACTGGAGTTCCGTGCTAGCGATAATCTGTCACCATCAACAGCCATAGTATTTTGCACTAGCTGCAGCCTGAGGGTAGCCCCAAATTGAGTGCATAAGAGAAAGAACAGTAATAATAGCAAAGTTCCTCCTAACCAAAATTCAAGATTAACATGCTTTGTAGATGTAGAAGTGTTTTGATCATACCCCAGCATGATCTGTAACGGCTGGTTTCAGAATTAACTGCAACCTTGGTCAGGCTTTATAGATTTTTTATATATCACAACAATAGTTTTGATGTTTAGAACAGCCTTGCAGCTGTTTCATCAACATTTTATGCCATAAAAGGACAGAGAGAAAAGAGGAAGTATAAGATATTGAGATGAAGTTGATGATGACCAGCCATATCCACCAACACCCACGTCCTGGGCTAGATTCATCTCTTGGGTTTCCACTTGGCATTCTAGAAGCATAGCGCATGGACTATCACTTTCAGTTGTAGTTCAAATGTTGGGGGTTTTTTTGTGTTGTTTTTTTTTAATCCAGCTTTGAAGTCTTAAATATGATGACAGCTGGAATTGCATCTTCTTTTGGGTAGAAGCTCTTTCCATCCTCTAAAAGTGGACTAAAGGCTATTTTCTTAGCAAACTTGCACACCTAGCCTTCATCTTCTAAACCGAGCAATCCCAGTAACAAAATGCACCTGCAGAGTCTATGCTTGTAGGATGCTAAAATTGTTCTCAGTGAGAAACTCAAGACCTGACTTTTCATTCGCATTAACTCTCAACAGGTGACATAAACTGATACTGTTTTAAATACAGTCTATCAGTAGAGCTGAATGTAATTCTATGATTCTGGGCATAGGAGCGAACTCCTAGGGGCTGAGGTTCCTTTGTGCCCCCCCCATAAAATATTTGAGGCCCCCCCCAGTTGATGGGCATTGCCATTCAAATGGTGTGTGTGTGCCACGTCATGTGAACAATTATGTGGGGTGAGGCCTACTTGCCCCCCCCCCCCAATATTTTATTCCTGTGGTATTCCTGATTCTGGGTGAGGCTACAATGAACCTACAGTGAAGTCTGGAAGAAGCATGTTGGCCAGCAAAGTGGACCAAGTAGCAAGAGTGAGTGATCAACAAGTAAAGACAGTAGCAACATAACACCCCAGCTCTCCAATATATCCAGGGTGTGCCCCAAGTGCTATGAATCATTGCCCTCAAGCATCCACAGAGCAAAAAATAAACACAGGAGAGGGTGGCAATAAGTCTACAATAAATTGCGGGTGTAGTGCCTGCGTTGTGGCTTTGTTTTTTAAAAAACTGTCTCTCCCAGAAGAATCATGGAACTATATGTGACGTGTAGTTCTACCTTAAGTAAAAAAGAGTCGGAATCCATTAGGTATGTATCTGGTTAGCTTTGAAAGTTTAAAATTGACAAGTTCAAAAGTTTACCTCCTTAACACAGAAAACATGGGGAAAGTCCACTAAAGTGACACTAATCTTATTTAAGCCAGAAGATTTTCTCCCGCATGAGACTGAATGCAGAAAAGCTGGAATTTCCA